AATTTTTTTTTTTTTTTTTTTTTTGGGGGGGGGGAGTCTCCTGATTTTCTTATTAAAGATGGCAGATTATTTTGCATTTTCTTTAAATTTAAATGTGTAAAGGTTTTGAAAATGTTTTGTGGCTGAAAACTGAACCGTGCAGTGAACGGGAAGTGCTCTTATCAGATAACAAATGTCTGGTTACAGTACTAAGATGAGGAAACATGGCACTTTTTCTTTAATCAAGGAAGTCATGAATGACTGGATTTTATCTGGGGATTGTTCCTGAGAAGTTAATTTTGTAGATATGTGTATGTATACATGTAATAGAAATCATCTAAAACAAGGTCTTTGGCACTGTGCGACACTGTACAATGTTAGAAAACGTACAAAAGTGACAAGCAAAACATGGTGAATTAGATCTGTTTTTTACCGGACTGAAATTCACCAGAAAACAATTTGTGGATAAATTTTGTCGGCTTTTCTCTGTTGCTGCACTATATTTGCTCGTGTTTCATTATTTCTGAGCACGCTCTCCTCCAAATCCTGTAAAATCTCGCTTGGATTTTCTGCCAGGTCACCTGGCTGAACTGTCCTGTATGATTTGCTGTTGGTACTGAGAAGGCAGTGTTCTCTTTAGAAACAGGAGTGGAATTTCTTTGTGATTCTAACTTTATCTCATGTCATCCATCATATTACTGGCCATAATAGATGCCTGAACTTCACTTGCAGTGATTGAAAAAAGGAAGGGTAGAGCATTTGTTTGTTGATGTTTTGATGGGATTTCTGGAAACTAGCACTGTTGTTTTTTATACTCAGGGGTTTCCTTTTCTGAGAAATAGAAATCCTAGGTGTGGCAGCTCAGTTCGTCATAGCTGTAAAAATGAGGATTGATGTGTTTAAAAGCAGATTTGTTACCTTTATCTGTAAACAACATGTTGTGTTGTGGTCCTTAGCACCTTAGGTGGCTTCCAATTATTTGTTTGTGGAAAAGAAATTATCTTCTGAATGCTTATTATAGAGAATTTTGTTAAATTGCTTAAATTAGACAAAAATGATGAAATCTCTAATATTTGCTTTTCTTAGAATATTGACATTTATTTCTTTGTCCATCAATAGATCCATACAGACATTCACACACACTTATAAACACACATACCAAAACATTTTATTGCTCCACGAACATGATTTCTGTGCACAGTTTCAGTTATATAGTTTATACATTCAAGTGGAAATTAAAAGACAGAGGAGGAAGCCTGTCTCAGTTTACCCCTCCTCACTGTTCTCCATCCCACAGACCCCCACCCCCACCCCAAGATTCCCGTCTTAACCTCCAAAATCCAAAGCTGCTACAACTCGGGAAGATGATCTGAAAAAGTAGCCAGGTCTTGCCATATTTACCTCTGAACAGAGAGAGAGAGGAGCATA